TTTTTTTCACAACAATTTTTTTCAAAAGATTTTTAAAATCATCATTTTGTAATAAATTTATTTCATTTTCTAAATTTTGACTATCATCATCTTGTTTTTCAATAATATCTTTTTCTTTATAATATAATTTTTTAAATTTTAAAAGCTCTTCTTTAGTCCAAACCTCATTTTCTAAAAGATTATCTTCTGTAATTTCTAAAATTTCAGATGTTTCAGATAAAGATAAATTATCATCTTCTTGAACTAAAAATTGAAATTGTAAATTTGAAAGGTCTGCTTGTAATTGAGTATTTTCTATATGGGTTTCTTCAAAAATATTTTTATTTAAAGAAAAAATAGATATTTTTTATAAAATAAAACTTTAAAAATTTGAATATTTTAACTAATACAACTAATGATTTAAATTATATATATATATAAAATTATAGATTTACTACAATATAATATACATTATACAAGAATATTATTTTAATATTATTTAAAACAATATTTATGCAATTTATGCAGAAAAAAAACTAATCTGATTATTAATTTTCAAGATAATTAAAAATAAATAGGTATGTATAAAAAAAAATTTGAGTATATGCATATATTGCATATACTCGTATACCAAAGTGTTCAAACTCATACAAATTAAACCGTATTTTTATACAATAAAAAATTTTTTGATTATAAGATATCGGTACAATTAAATTAAAAATTAAAAACAAATAACAATAACAATAATGAACAATTATTATTATGTGATACTATAATTGTTTAAATAATTACAAGTTAAATTTTGATCAAAAAGTTACATTGGCTTTTATTATGTTGATATTATGCAATATTGCATTTTGCACAAATATCACACTAGTTACATAAATTTACCATGTATTTTATGCGTTTAAAATGTAATTGCACGAGTCTAAACACTCAGATTAGCTCAGTAGTATATTGATAGAAAATTGGTACTGCATACATACTTATTGTTTAACATTGTTAATGACAATTGATATATAATTGTTTAGATAAACAATAAGTACATATGCAGTATCAATCTTCTATTAATATATATACTAAGGTAATCTAGTATACAAGTAATACCAAAGGGAAATCTCAAGAAAGGTTACCAAAAAAAATACTGAAGGGCTAGAAGGAAATCCACAAGAGAATTCTCCAAAAAAA